ACGACGTGATAAGGCTGTTTGTCGCGTTACACTTGCGTGGAATGTACAGGTCCACGTTGACGCCCTCTTCGTTGAAGGTTCCAATGGTTGCCATGATGAGATGCGTGAATAAAACCCTATTTTTTTTTTTTTTTTGTTAATTAGTTTGGCAAGAAAAAGTAATAAAAAGAGAAAATCATGAGAAAAGTCCTGTGTATTCGTTTATGTGTTATGTGTTGTATTACAGGCAAAGAAAAAATACGACACCGATAGGAATGAGGACAAACAAACAAAAGACAACAAGTCTTATGCAGAGAGAGAGAGAGAAAGAGGAGGGGATGGGGACAATAGAAAAACAGGACCCGATATAAAATCAAAGAAAGGAAAAAAAGAAACATACGACACGTCAAATAGTACCTCTTGCTTCCCTCCCAAGAGAAGCTCTTTCCCTCACATAATTTCTTTCGGATTTGTCGTGTTTACCCTTCCACAATGTTTCACTTTTTCTTCTCATCACTAAATGTGAACTGATCCAGAAGTGCGTCAATAGAATCTGTGCCCTGCACTTGAGGTGATACTACAGTTGGGATTTGTGGTGGCTGTGAAAAGTAATACTGCACTGGTGGCTCTTCGTGTGTGGCGGAGCTGTCAAGGGGAATACCCATCACCATGCCCTTTGAATTGTCACCCACCATATTTAAGTCGCCACCTCCCCCGCCGTTGTTATTGTTGTTGTTGTTGAAGAGTTCGGGTGGGCTTTGCAGTGATGGTGACGAGTGGGATGCAGTTCCACTACCTAATAACTGCAACGCTGCCTGCAATCCACCCTCTGCCGCTGGCTTATCGATTAGACCGCTTTCTTCCGCTACATCAAGCAACAACCTGGCACGCTCGTAATACATTTCCATTCGTTGTCTTAGTTGGTATAAGAAAAAACGACGGCTCTCAACATTATCAATGGGAACTTCATCACCAACAGTAGCGATAATCTCCATTGCGGTAATATAATTACGAGCTGCCACAAGAGGACTGCCATCTGGAGTCTCCTCTCCACGAGCACGGTTGATAAAATCCGCTGCTTGTCTCATACGCTGTGCAAGTGTGGTCATCTTATCAAAAGAATATATAAATATAAAAGTATATATATATATTCTTGTTTGTGTTTTTCTACGTGCAAAAAAAAAATTTTTTTTTATATTTATACTTTCTTTGTTGTTCTGCGCTACAGGAAAAAAAAAGAAAAGAAAAAAAAACATTTGTTTTAAAGCAAATTATTCCATTATTTCTTTAAATCATCTCAGAGAAGTTAACGACAGACTATGAAAGAAAGAGAAGAGAGAATAATAAAAATAATAAGTAAACGAATATATAAAAAAAAAAAAAAAAAAAAAAAAAAAAAACAGTCTCCAACAGTCAACTACATATTCCAATTCTGAAGCAATATGAAATAGTTCATAACCCTTTATTTTGTACTTCATTTGCAAGTGTTACAAATAAACCACAGAACAAGAAAAAAAAAAAGAATGGTGTGGAGACGAAAAGGGGGGATGCTTCATAAAGTACATACAGAATAACCTCTCTACATATCACCAAGAAACAGTATACAGAAGAAATATAACCAAAAACTCTCTTCTCTTTTCCTTGCCTTGTTTTTATTATTTTCTATTCTCTTCTCTTTCCTCTCATACAAATTCACACAACCTTAAATAACCAAACAAAACATAGTCACAATCAATCAATCACATGTACACATTGGAAGTATTCCTTCTCTTTCTATTTTCAATGCATTAATGCAATTTATGACGATGTGGATCGGCTTTATCCACCTTAATGCGTCTCTCAAGCGATTTCATTTGTTTCCACGTATGTGGATCTACAACAGAGGTATCTGGTTTTTCCTTTAAGAGGTTACCGTGAGAATTACGCAGTGTTTCAAGTCTCTTCACATACCGTGTCAGAGTACCGGCCAACATTTCCCCCGCACATGCCAAATGCCGATCACCATTTTCAATCGCCCCTTCCTTTCCAGATAATCCAACCGCGTCAGGAAGTTCTGGTAACAATCCTTGACGAATAAAGTCACTTTTGTACATGCTCATTTTCACATGTCCCTCATTGTCAATCCGCCGTGTTACAGCACAATAAGGCTGTTCTGATCTAAGGATTGGAATAGGGTTCGTATCGTCATATATTGGGTGTGGCTTCCCAACTGGTCTTCTTTTCCCTGCAAGTAGGGCGAGTAATGCGGCTTTATCATCCATTGTCCCTATGAGATGTGCATTCAGGGATTCTTCAATACCCCGTGGTAGTTGACTTGGATATGCCAGGCTCTTATCACCGTAAACCCAAGATGTACAATAATAGTCTGTCGGGGGACCTCCTATCGTTAAGAGTGGTCGTCGTGAAGCAAACAAATCTTCCTTCTGGTCCTTATCACCATTATCCCGTGACGTTTGAACTTTTGGAAGGAGTGACTCCTTTGATGTAATCTTTGGTGGTAACTCCGCCTCTGCGCGAGGGAGATCTTCTGAAGCTGGTATAAGCAGAAAATCAGGGTCAAAAGCGGCTGCGCGAGCCCCAGCGTACAATGTCGCCTCTCCCTTTGGAACACGTCCACTGAGTGTGTAGTCCGTCTTGTAGGTCGTGTTAGGGTGGGCCCCGTCCGCGGTGTTATGCTTTGTGAAATCTGGTCGATAATAATCCCTTGCAAAGGAAGAAGCAACATCATGCTCACCACATGCGGTTCGCAACAAATCGGGAAGGTCCTTCACACCCCGGTTGTGCCGCACATAGTCACGTCGGTATATAGTGCCGTAACTTCCTGGCATTGCAGGACCAAAGCAGAAGATGGGCCGATTGCGCACCTCGCCGCTTACAGCCGTGTCATCTTCGCCCTTTGCGCCGTCGCCGGTGCCAGTGGATACAAAGTCACGATTGTAGTCGTAGTCGTAGCGTGTCATGAACGAGTTAAGCATGTTTGGTGCCGGATGTGGCGGCAGCTCCCGCGGCAGCTCCACTTTATCTACGGACATGTGTTGCTTTCTTTTTTCTTCTTATTTTTTGAGTTTGCTTGTATGTATTCTTGTTTTTTTTTTTATTTGGTTTTGCTTCGTATATTGTATCTACCTTTTTTTCCCTTTGCTAGTTTCTATCCGTGGTTGTGGACACGTGTTATTTTTTTTTTTTCCTTCTATCCTTTCGTTGTTGGTGTTGTATGGTGTACGGCGTACACTGTTCACCCAATGTCCAATAAACGCAAGTATGAAAAAGCCTCCGCTTTCCCGCTTTCCAGTCCCTAAAAAACCCAGAAAAAACAGAAGAAAGTATAAATGTAAAAAAAAGAAGAAAAAAAGAATTTCTTTAAGCAGTACAATGTTGCTTTTCCTTCAGTACACTCCATTTAACCTATTTAGCTTCATTTTTTTTTCCCCCCTTCCTTCTCACACACCAACCACTTTTTTTTTTTTTTTTGACAGACCAGAGCAACCCACCATCAAGTTATTAAGACGGTGCGGTCCGTTACAATACCCGGACACCTTCATGCTGGTTCAGTAGCTGAACCACTTCTTGTATACTTGTATTAAACCTACATTCCTTATTATCTGACGCAGAGATACATGAATTATTATGCTCTAAACCTGGAAAAATATACTTGTACTTTCTAAATAGTTCAACCGCCTCCATCATTCGCTTCTGAGTATTGGTCCCATAATATTTGACAAAGGCAAGATGCTGTTGTCTCTGTTCCTCCGCGGAGAAAATACCCATTTTCCAGTAAGCTACAGCCTTCAAAAATTTTGTGAATGCGAACGAGTTAGAGAATTCAAAAGACTCTATTTGACTAATCTCATCTTCAACTTCCAATTGATCTTCAACCCGATGTCTTTCTACTTCCTCCACTATTACTGCCCCACCCTCATTGGGTTTCTCCTCTTCCAGTGGCCATTGTTCATCAACATCACTCTCCTCCTCCTCTACATCAGCATTCTTCGTTTTATCCCCATCATTATCACCCTCACTCACACT